CTCATGTTTGCATCCATTCATCTGTTTTGCATGCACCGGGCTCAGCGCATCATACTAATTGCATCGTATTTCAATTCCAAGTTGAATACATGTTACCTGTAGCATCTCATATGCGCTCTTAGATTAGCCGAGCCTATCTTAGTTGCATTTTGTATGTGTTGCATTAGGCATTCTCGACATAGCTAGGATCATGCATTGATTTCTAACATAGCTTTTGTTTTGGCTCGGAGTACTCGGTAAGTGTTTATGCTTAAGCATCCTTGCATCCGTGTGAGTGACTGCCATGATAGCATGCTTACCATGAGACTATGTGCTTATGTGATATAACTGCCTGAATGCCTGTGGGTGAAGGTTAGGTTGCTTGAATTGCAATAATTCGTCGAAACCCGTGTTTTAGCCTACTTGCGAGTAGCAAACTTCAATCTATTTTCAAAACAAACGGATATGCGATGCTTTGTTCCAACTTAGGCAATCTAGTCTATACTTGTAAGCTATGCGCATCACATAGTAATTCTAGGTTAATAATAGGAATAAGAGCACATGTGTTTTCAAAAACAAGATATCATGCTTAGTAGTGGCCGATCTTTGATCAGGCGAGCGGCGGTGCTCATGAAATGACCTTCTCCAATCGTACCCAAGTTCCCAAGTCGAGGCAACTTCGGTGATGACGGACACGTGGCCTTAGGCACGAGTCAGGATTTCCTAAATTTCCCAAAATAAAAACATTTAGATGGCGACTCTGTATCTGGCAAAGCAGTCCATGTTTGACACTTCTTTCTAAAAATCAATTTTTTAAAATGATTTGCCAGATTTGGACTCTTTGGTGATTTATCGATCTTGCATTGCACTTTGTGAGATTAGATTCAGAACTGTGACATTGAGTCCGAACTGTAGTAAGCCCAATGAACAAAACGGGATTTTCCCGGGACGTTCGGGGACGTCTACACTTTCCTCCAATGAATATAACAATGCTTGGTTGTTACAATGTCAAAGTTATGAACAGTGCTTGGTTGTTATAATGTCAAAGTTATGAACAATGCTTGGTTGTTACAATCTCAAATTTGCTTCAATGAAACATTCAGTCTTTTTTACCCATATCGTTACCAGATCTGGCTTTTGATATCAGTCTTGTTATCCAAATTTCATTCAAAATATTGATTCTAATCAGAGTATTTGTATTGAATTTAAAGGTTAATAACAGGTTTGGAGTCACTATACTGATAAATTTATTATTTTATAGTGTTTTGTTTACCCTGATAAATTTATCACTGTTTCAACAAATTTATCACTGTGAACATTGATAATTTACCACTGTTCAAATAAAAAAACCAGCGGCTCTCTCTTTCTCTCTCTCATTCTTTGTCCCCAATTCAAGTAAATAAAACACTATAAAAAATAATAAAAAATTTACCTAATTGAAAATTAAAACACAAGCACTATTACATTGTCCAAATTGGAAATTAAAATACTGTTACAATTTGTAGATATTCCCAACTTTGAGAATGAATGTAAGAACATGCCATCCTTGGTGATTTCTGAATAATCAAAACCATTTGATACTTCAGTTAAACAAAATAGTATGCAGACTGAGAACTTGTTGCTAAACCAGATAAACATGGTAGTTGATCTAAAATTTTTTGCTTTTTAAAGCAGTTAACACAGCAGATATGCAATTATGTATTATAGAGATTTGATCTACACCTTTGTATTGTGGAAATTTTTCCTGGGAAAACTACATAACTCCAGACAATGATAAATTTATCACTGTAGAAAAGAACATTTGCTTGGATATAACAGTGATAAATTTATCAACCACTGACATAAAATGTAATAAACTATCAACTCTTCCCACACAATAAGTGATAAATTTATCATTCTTCAAAATAACAAAATTCAAGAACTACATTAATGGTAAATTTATCATTCTTACAAAAAAATAATCCATCAACTTGTCTAAACCAACCAGTTATAAATTTATCACTTTATAAAACACCAAAAATAGTAGCTACATTTAACCCAAATCAAATAATATAAATCTGTGAAACTTAACCCTGTAAAAATATCAGCAAAAAATATAATTTATGTTCAACAAATTCCTCAATCATACAATGCGAGTATCAAAATGATACATCTTTTCAAAAATACTCAATCATTCAATGCAAGTAACACCTCTCAACTCTCAACAAAGTAATTCAATTAAAATCAATACAACTAAAACAAAGCTTCTTTACATGTCTTCCGATTATTAGTTCCTATCTTTCCACACCTACTGCACCTAATTCTCTTGATTTCACCCTTAGAAGGTATTCTCTCTGTTCTTGGACATCTAGCTGGTCTCTTACAAAAAGGAGGTAAAACAACATCATCATCAACAACTATATTTGGCTTCCACATACTAGGAACTGGATAGATAGAATGTGAATAAGAATCACAATAACTACAAACACGGTAGTAATCATCAAGAAAGCAAATCAATTCCTTCCCACTCCTCTTTATAACACAAAAACCATGTTTGCAAGGAAAAGAATCAATTTCCCACAATCGACAAGAACAACAACGTTTCCCAATATCAACCATAACTGAATGATCCAATTGGATTTCATAAATGTCATCGCTACATTTCTTAACTATCCATGCTTTTGTATCATTAAAAGCTTCTTCCAACTTTTTCTCTGCAAAAGGACAAACAATGCGATTCCACTTTTTCCCAACTTCTCTCCTTCTTGAAAATTGCTCTATTAGTTTCACCCGTATAGCATCAACAAGACTAGTTGAAAATAAATGGCGTTCATCCCTAATCCATGAATTAAAAGATTTCGCACCATTTGTGCACATTTCACCATAACTCTTGCCTTGAAAATAAGGGTTACGCCAACACTCATTAGGCAAATTCTCAAGAAACTTCTCAACACTACGACCACAACGACCCTTAAATTCTTCAAATAGCTCATTAAACAACTCAATAGTAGGAGCATATGCACATCTACTAAAAAGAGTAAGCAAATACTCTTTCGATTCACGACTCTTCACTGACAAATAAGTCTTCAAGTTTGTCTTCAAATGCATTAGACAAGAAGAATGAGAAGAAAACGGAAAGACCTTCGCTAAAGCTTTCAGCAAACCTCCTTGTCGATCAGTAACAAACGCAATATCTCTCCCCGGAGTCAAAATACCTAATAACTTTGACAAGAACCAATGCCAACTGTCATAACTTTCACTATCAACAATAGTAAAACATAACGGATATAAACCTACAAAGAAAATATATATACACGTTATCAATAACAAATAAAAAAATTACAAAAAGAAAATCAAAACACAAAATATATAACATATAGCACCAGCCACAGATAAATTTATCACTGTATAAATATAAAAATTTAACAAAAGTATATAGCATAAATTTATCACTAATAGATTGACCATACTCAATAATCAGCACTCTCCCGTAACAAAAATGATAGAATTATCACTATATCAATAATAATAACAGATAGACACAAAATATACCTTGGTTACCATCTTTTGCCGTAGCAGCCAATAAATAACCTTTCTGTCCTCCTTTCATGAAAGTTCCATCAAGCATCAACACAGGCTTACAATACTTGAAACCATGAATACATGCCTCAAAAGCGAAAAACAAGCATTTGAAATGTCTTCCTTTACTATCAATATCAAATTCCATATCAAAAACACTCCCCCGATTGCAAGCATTAGCGGCATCAACATACCAACGAAGATCGTCAAGTGATGATGAATAGTCACCAAAAACAAGACCCCTTGCTTTTTCAACACCCATCCAAGCTCGCCGATAAGAAACTTTTGTTCTATAATAGTCCTTGAAATCACAAACCACCTCACTGACTGATGTCAAAGCCTTATTACGAATATCACTTGAAATTAGCCCACCAATCATACTTGAAGTCATCCTAGCATGTTTAATTGTACGAAAATAAGATCCACAAGTATGAACATCATCAAATTGTTTAATAACAAAAGCTTTACTATAATTTTCCACTCTAGCATGCGCGCTCCATAAACATCCCAAATTAGCCCTTCTCTTACAATGAACAGTGACACGATTCTTATCATTTTTAACGAAATCAAAATTAAAACCGGAATGAATAGAATACTTTGACAACGCATCTCGAAATTCAACAACTCCTTGAGCAAACCTTTGTCCCACTCCTTTCATATAATTAACCCACCCATCAGAGAGCAAAGGTTTCCGTTGATTTGAATAAAATGAAGGCAAAAAATCAGTTTCACAAACAACACTACTACTACTAGCTTCACCATCACAAATCATATAACCTTCACCCAAAGAACAACACTTTACAAAAACATCAATATGATGAATATCACAAGAAAGTGCTAGTCCAACCATAACCTCCAAATCCTCTTCACTTTGTAGACCACAACAAGAATGTCCAGGCATTGAATAGGCTATATTCAAAGAACTACCAACTAACTCACTCCACTTTGCACACAATTTAGATACTAAATCGTTGAAATTAAATCCATCATTATACTTGATAACCAATGTCACACCTCTAAACTTGCACATAAGAAACAAACAATTCTCCATCACTATAAATCCTGCAACAAACAACAATTATATTTCAGTAAACAACTCAAACACCCTAAAACAAAATCAAATATAGTGATAAAATTATCAACCAACTCAAACACATCCAAAAACCAACACTGATAACTTTAACAGTTAACACCACCAAAGACCAAGAACAGTGAATAAGGCTTACACTTATTAGACATGGTAACTCGATTTGAATCTTACCATTACATTATGCAACCTTTTCATCTCCTATTCCCATACTCACTCATAAATTTATCACTGTTGAAAAAGTTAATCCAACAACACCTATGTTCAATCAACACAATTTCGTAACCAAAAAAAAAAATAAAAATCTAAAATTCAATCAACATATACATATCTCAAACCTTTCAATATCATGATGAAAACACAAATTCAATCGCAACAGAAATAACAGAGTAACAACAATATCACCACAAAATCAAAATCACCAACTCAAACTAAAAAGAACCAAAACATTGAAATTGAAATCAAAATCAGACATACTAGTCGACCTAACTCCACAACATCGCAAATTAGAAAATGTAACTATACACCAAACGCGAAATCGCAAATAGGAAGAATCACCAAGCACGCAATCGCAAATCACAAATCACGAAGATACACCAAATGCGAAATCAGAAATCACGAAGCTCCACAATAATATAGTAGCAAATCGTGAAGTTCCACAGAAATCCAAATCACAAACACTATTTTGATGGAAAATCCAAACAGAAATGCGCCAAAACAGGGGAGGGGTAAAACGGTACAAAAAAAAAAGGCTCAGGACCTGTTGGTGCACTAGAGCAAAACTCAGGACTAAGAGGGGAATAAGTGTAAAAGGTAGGACCGGCTAATAAAAAACCCTACTATCATTTAATTTTTATTGGGTTGGGTTTCTCTCGAGTTTAAATCTCCACTTGAGGGAATTTTAGGGTCCGTGGGATTCACCACGAACCCTTTCTGATAATCTAAATAATTTATTTTTGTAAGTCATCCGTATATAATATATTATTCATAAAAAAATTAACTCGATCCAATAATCGTAATTTTTATTTTAATATGAGCCAAGTAAGTAGTTTGAGTTAAAATTGTAAGGTAACTTTAATATGCTTGAAATTAATTTTTTAGGTAATGAAACTTGGATGTGCAATAATCGTAATTTTAATTTTAATATGAGCCAAGTAAGTAGCTTGAGTTAAAATTATGCCGTAACTCTAATATGCTTGAAATTAATTTTTTAGGTAATGGAACTTGGATATGCTTATTATTTATTTATTTTGCAATATTATCAAGTTGTTCTTATAAATTATTATGAAATAAAAAAAGAAGAAGTTAGGTACGGGTATGAGCCAAGTGACTCACTTGACCAAACAGGTCCACCCAAAATTAAAAATTGCTTATTAATCTTATGATACCCACACTACAAGAAAATGGGCTTTATAACATGAAAGCATTTGCGACGGCATCACTTACTGTCGCAAAAAGTTATTTTTTTTGCGACGGCACCACCTGCCGTCGCAATTAAATGGGTTTTTCGCGACGTCACCCCTTCGTGTCACAAAAAAATAACTTTTTGCGACGGTAACAACTCTCGTCACAAATAATGCGCATTTTTTTTGCGATGGTAAGCTATGCTGTCACAAATAAAGCTATTTTTTGCAACAGCATGAATTGTAGTCACAAATAAGAAAGTTTTTTGTGACGGTAATAGGTGTCGTTTGCAAAAAAATAAAAAAATGAGAAAAAAAGAGACTGTTTTAATGAGATGGCATTAGAACAAAAAACTGAAATTTTTGTAGCGTTTCACCTATTTTCTCTCTCTCTCTCTCTCTCTCTCTCTTTTGCTCATCTCTCTTCTGTTTCTCTTTCTCTCTCTCACTCATCACTCTTTATCTCTCTCTCCCTCTCTCCCACACTATGCTCGCATTCCTCACTCTCTCGCTCCCCTCTTCTCGATTTATCGATCTCCCTCTCGATTTATTGATCTCTTTTTTTTTCTTCTCTCTCTCTTTCTCTTTCTCTTCTTTCAATCGCTCATCTCTCATTTCTCTTAATCACTTGTCGAAAGAGAAAAAAGTCAGAAAATGAAATGGGCCTCTGTGTGTGTGTGTGTGTGTCTCACTCATCTCTCTTCTCTCTCTCTCTCTCTCTCTCTCTCTCTCTCTCTCGCTCTCTCTATCTCTCATCTCTCTATCTTTCTATATCTCTCTCTATATCTCTTGTTCATCTCTTTTTGCTCTCTCTCTATCTCTCTCTCGTTCATCTTGTTTCTTTCTCTCTTTTTTTCCTCTCTCTCTCTCACTCATCACTCTTTTGTCTGGCTTTCTCATCTCTCTTCTCTCTCTATCTCTCTTACTCATCTTTCTTTTCTCTCTCTCTCTCTCTATATATATATATATATCTCTTGTTCATCTCTTTTTGTTGTCTCTCTCTCTGTCTCACTCTCACTCATCTCTCTTCTCTCTCAATCACACTCATCTCTTTCTATGAGCCCATTATTATTGAACGAGGAAAAAGTCAAAAAATGAAATGGGTCTCTCTCTCTGTGTCTCTCGTTCATCTCCCTTCTCTCTCTCTTTCACTCATCTCTATTAACTATCTCTCTCACTTATCTCTCTTCTCTATCTCTCTTATCTCTCCCTGTCTCTCTTGCTCATCTCTCTTCTCTTTTTTTATGTCTCTTTCTATATCTCTCTCGTTTATTTGTTTTTCTCTACCTCTAGCTTCCTCTCTCTGATCATCCCTTGTTTCTCTCTCTTCCTAGCTTTCATTGCGCAGCAAAATGGACATGGAGGTTTTTGGCAAAAAAATGAGTTTTTTTTTTTTTTTGCTACGGCGACCTTCCCACATTGTAAATACAGGTTATCAGCGACAACAATGCCCCTGTCACAAAAAAAAATTACTAAACGAGCCATGAATTCATTGTTTTTTAAATTTTCATTTGTGGCGGTTATACTTGACATCGCAAAAAAAAAAAAAAAAAAAAAACAAAATGTGATTCACGCTTATTTTTCCCTCCTCAACCAAAAATCCCCAAATCTCAAATCCCTAATCTTTTGAACCAAAAATCCCCCTCTCTCTCTCTCTCTCTCTCTCTCTCTCTCTCGTGACTGTGAGCAGGGCAAACGACGGCGTCGAGTGATGATGAGTAACAGCAGACGACGGCGTCGAGCGACGGCAGCGTCAACATGAGACGCCATCGAGCAGCAGCAGGTGACAGCGAGCATCGAGCAATGCACAAGTTTCTTGTATGCCAAGGCCATGTATCTGAATTGTGTTTTTGTTGACCTTGCAGGGCAGACAAATGTATGATGGCATCCTCCGATTTTCAGGCTGATGTGAGAGCTCTACAAAAGGTTTTGGCAGCTAGACACTTGGTGAGGATTGAAATTTTTTAACTCCAGTAATTCAATTTTCACTTTTCTTATGAAAATAAATAATATGAAGTATGCTAAATTACTATATGAAAATAAAATGTTAAATTTGGTGAGACCCATTTGTTGGAGATATTACTAAGGATGGATAGAATTTGTTTTCCTTGGTTCTGAGCTATGGTTTGTTGCTTGAGGTTTAAGGAAATGAAAGATGTGCTGGAAGTAATGTATCATTTTTCTTTTTCTTGGGACACAAATCTATCAGCATCAACACAACAAGCAGATGAGTTGTCCTACAATGGGTCAACTGCTTTCGAACGCCCTTTACTACAAGCGCTTCTTTCCTTATTATACTTTCAATGTTCTCGGTGGCCTCGATAATGAAGGTAAAAAGTGCATTTTATCCCTCTATTTCATATTAACATTACATATTTCTTTGAAATACTATAGGTAAGGGTTGTGCCTTCACATATGATGTTGTTGGCTCCTATGAGAGGGTTGGATACAGTTCCCAAGGTTCTGGTTCTACACTCATCATGCCTTTTTTGGACAACCAACTGAAGTCGCCAAGCCCTCTCTTGTTACCTGGTTTTGGCTATAATTGTTCATTCACAAATCTTCTTCCACAACTTTTTCTTTGTAGTGAAAAATTATATGAATATATTTAATTTAACTAAGCATATAAATTCTTGATGGAACACAACATATTTACCACTTGCATTCTAATGAACAAATTATAAAAGACCAGGCCTGGGTTCAAAGTGACTAAACAAATTGAAATAGCTAACTCAAAAGGATGTTTACCGTGCTTTTACACAAAGGGTGAATTTCATCTTGGAAAGAATGTTCACACAACTCTAATCTTAATCACTTAATACACCAAGGTGTTAGCCAAGTAATAAAACCTGACTTAAGAACTAGCTGCTTGCAGGTTTGGGGTGCTTGTAAGTCCAATACAAATGACTCAGAGCAACCAAACCATGAAATTGATTTATTGGCTGGCCATGAGAATGATGTCAATTACGTGCAGTTCTGGTTAGTCAGTACTGGTGAATAAATCAAATGTCTCCTGACAAAATTTCTTATCATCTTCAGTGCCTTTTATATGCAGTGGCTATGCTGTGGCTCCAAGATCTTCATCCTTGATTCCTTCACTAAGGATAACAAACAAAAATTTAAAAATTCTTGGTTCGTAGACATCTTCCTTCCTAATCTGTGTATTATATTGTTCCCTGATTTTAACTTACCAAAAGAAGAAGAATAAAAAAAAGGGCAAGGCAGGCTCAATTGTCTGTATACCCTCTTTCACTTATTAACCATATCCAACTCTTGTTGCTTGAATAATATTCACAGGTTTAATCACGATAACATAGTTACATGCTCACGTGATGGCAGCGCGATTATTTGGGTTTCAAGGTCATGCAAATCTCATGCGAATTCTTTTTGGAGTGTTTACTGTTTTGGGCACTATGTATTATGTTTGTGGAATCGCATTCTGTTTTTGTTAAAAAATTTGTTTCCTAGATGTTGTACTAGCTGATTGCTGTGAAGTTCAATATCCATGGAATGGATTTATAAACATATCATTATAGCTTTGGTTTCCTTTTCTGTCATAATCATTCAATAAT